GTGGAGGAAAGAGGGGAGAGCAGTGGCGCTGACCAGCGATGGGGAGAGAGTGAGATCGGGAGAGGCGCGGCTGAGGAGGAGTGAGAGGCTTCGTGCGGCGCGCGGCTGTGGCGTGGCTGTGGACAGTCGCGCGGCTGGGGCCGGTAGACAGCAGCGGCGGAGTGGCGAGCTGAGGCGGCGACGCTCAAGCAAGTGCTGGGCTGGTGGTGGCCGCGAGCGCAGGAGGAGCTGCGCGCGAGGGATTAGGTGAGAGTGGAGGAGAGGCGCGGCGTCGATGGGTCAGACTGGTGGCGGCGGGAGCTGGGGTTGTCGGGTGAAGAAGAAAAGAAAAGAAGAAGAAGAAGGAAGCGGGGAAGAAGAGGAAGAAAAGGGAAAGAAAGGAAAGAAAGAAAAGAAAAAGAAAGAAAGAAAAAAAAACAAAGAAAGAAAGAAAGAAAAAGAAAAAAAAAAAGAAGAACAAGAAAAGAGAAAAGGGGAATTGTTTTTTTTTTTTTTTTTTTTTTTTGTAAAAACTTACGCTAATGTAAATCGTCCTAATTGGAAATTGCTGAATTTTTTTTTTTTGTAATAATAAAATTTTTAAATTTTTTTTTTTTTTTTTACAAAGAAACCCAGTCTTAGGCGTGGGCACGCCTAACCGCTATGGAGTCCGCAGATCCTGAGCGAAAATTTCCTGCCAATTTCCTGCCACCAATTTCCTGCCACCAAGCAACAAATCACTAAATGCAACTAACACTTAACAAAAACTCCAAAAACATAAGAGAACTAAAATAAAGAGCCTTGGGTTGCCTCCCAAGCAGCGCCTTTCTTTAATGTCTTTGGCTAGACATGCTATGCTTGTTCACGGAGGATAAAATCGTGTAGCTCGCTTCAGTGCTTCATCTTCTATGTAATCCTGATAGCCCTCGTAAATGGAGTAATTCTTGACCACCCGAGCTACGGTCTTCCATGGATTAGTAGATGGCTCCAAACAAACAAGTGATGATCTTAAATCTTCACCCACTCCTCCATCACGAGCACTTATTGGTTCGAAATATTTTGCCATCATGACTCTTAACTTATTCCTGGCATGAAATTCAAAATCGTCTGGTATAATAAAATCAATCTCACTAACAGGAATTAAAAAATAAGAGTCAGGAAAATATTGATCAAGGAATGGAGGAGATGTCACCGCATTTGGTGATTGTTCACTGGATTCATTCACTTGAACCATTTGATGTTGGGGTCTCAATTTTTGCTCTTCAACTTTCTTTTCAACTGCATCTTTAGATTCTTCTTCTTGAGACTCTTGCAGTACCATGTCATTTGTCAGAATAATTGCACTCTCATCTTCCTCATGGTCGATAATAGTCGGTGAGGGCAATTCTTCATAAACTGGAGAAATCAATTTGCTCGTTTTAAATGCCCATTCACGCCTTGCTTCTTTCATCTCTTCACTCATCCTTTGTGTCTCCTGTTGAATTCGAGATACATTAGCAGCTAGTAATTCTATCATCTCTTCAAGAGACATACCTGACACGGATGATGGTTGTTGAGACCCTTGCTGTTGAAAATTCATTGGCTGCTGAAAATTCATTGGCCCTGTTGTATAATCATAACTGGAGTTATCCCACCATCCTTGATCATACCCGTTTGGATTAGAGTTATACCACGTTTGAGACCAGGGTGACAAATCTCCATAACTATTGAGTGGGACACTCAGATTATCTTGATACTCGGGGCACATACTGGTTGAATGATCCCTGGCATAACAAATTTTACAGGTTGCAGCAGCCATTCTTTTTCTAATAGAGTTTACTGCCTCTGCATGTGCGAACTTAGCAAAAAAACTAGTCTCATCACCTTCCCCGGAAACAAAATCCAGTCCATCACCAAAATACGGAGTGTTAGAAGCCATAAACTATATAGAAAAAAAAATAAGAGAAAAATAAATAAAAAAATAAAAACAAGATGAACTCAAAAAGAAACAAATTAATCTGGCACCAGTCCCCGGCAACGGCGCCAAAAATTGACAGGGGTCGAGCCTGTGCAATAATAAATACCTGCTCAAATAAAATACAAATTCTGTATATAGCGGTAAGCAGGGTCGAATCCACAGGGATTGGGGATAATTTAATTTCTTCTCAAGTTCCAGATATGGGGGGTTTTTGAAAATGAGAGTAACTAAATTACTTGGAATAAATTAAAATAAAATAAAGTAACTACAACTCAAATAACTAATTATCACAATAACAATAAAAATGGATGAACTCTAGCCAAGAGACAACTTCGGAGATGGTTCACTTAATTCGATCACAGATGCAAGGATTATTCCAGTTACTATCTGATAAATTAGTTATAGTTGTCATACACGCGATAAACAACCAACTCTTCCTCAATTTGTCGATAGCCAAGGTACGACCGTTGACTATTTCTCTAATCAGGAAATAACCCTAGGTACGACCATAGAAGTTCAATTCCCTAATTGCATGAATAATTAGAAGAGCCTAATTCTAACCAATCAACACGCTACGAGGGTCTCTTTAAGTTAGCCTGTCTATCTCCCTGACACAAACCCAATCATGCCAGTTGCCACCAGTTTAGGACAATTAAACAATTACGGATTTAACTCCCCTAATTGGCTTCAGGTTATTGAATTAATCTAGAATCCGGGCCCTGGATAATCGAATAACAAAACAACCATATGAACATAAAGCAGAAGATAGACAAATACCAGTGAATAATGAAAATAAATAAAAATTAATTCGATCTCACAAATTTAGTAGAACCAAATCCTCCGTTGTTCTTGACTAGACAAACTTAGCCACGCCTCATGAGAAAATCTTCAAGTAATTCCAATGAGGTCCAGGCCATCAAAAGAGCCAAGCAAGAAACAAAGCTAAAAAACCACGCTAAAAGCTAAAGGTAAAAACTATTTATTCCCCCGCGTTCTCTGTACGTTTTCTCCTTTGTAAAGCCAACAATGACTAAAGCCTTCTGGTGGTCCCCACGGATTAGGAGTCCAAGAGCAAAAAGAATTGGAGCTCTACCGCATTCCCCCTTTTCCAAGCCTCTGTACGTTTCTCACTTAAAGACCAAAGGAAAGTGACTAATGCTCCCGTGGTCCCCGCCGAATTAGGAACAAAAGCCACCTCTGTACGTTTGTTTCTTATTTTGAAGTCCAAAAGATGACTTATGCTTCATATTCGTGGTCCCCACGCAATTGAGAAAAGAGTCCATCCCTTGTAGTTCTCCAAAGTCCTCCTTTTTAGTACATTTCAGTTCCACTCCTTGAAATTAAGTCCAAATACCAAATATAAGTAAATATTAATAATTAAAACAATATTTGGCAAGGACAAAGGGGAAATTAATAATAAAATAACCAACAATTAACACCCTATCAGTTCTTTACATCCATTTTCCTATGTACATAAAATCACAGAATTTTCTATATATTTTGAAATGTTAGAAAGGTCATATAGTAATATGCAAAATATAAGGGGTTTATCAGTAATTTACCCTTAAAAAATTGAATAGCAACACTTTGTGAACACTGCAGGCTATAGTGAGTTTGTTTATCATGATTTTTAAATAGTTAATTTAATATGATTCCTTGAATAATACTCAAGTGGTGAGCTTCAGGGTAAAGAGATGTGAATGCTTTACTTTAACAGCTTGTCGATAAAATAGTTCAATAGAAAAAAAAAATCACAATAGGCAAATGGTTGTATTGATTTTTTAGATCCGGTGTATCTATTAATTTCAAATTTATATATATTTGTGTCATGTTTGTTAGCTGTATTTTTTGTCATAAGTGCAAATTTATTTAATGAAATAATTTTTTCTATCAAAAAAGAATGGAGAAGCTACATGGATTAACTTTAATTTTATGTTTCATTGCGCAATTTGAATAAATCTTGGTCGAAGAATTTTCTTAGGCGACTTCCCCCCAAAAAAAAAAAAAGGAAAAGGGAAAAAAAACTAGATGCAATCTGCTAAACATTCATCAAATTCATTTTTCACAATGTGTATCATAACAAATTTTGGTCGATTGAGTTAAACTTATATAAAAAAATTGGCCTAGTTTGCATAAGTAGGCTACTAACTTTTGGATTTAGGCGAAAACTTTGCCCAAATTTCAATTCATGTTTCTCGAAGATTAATTGATGGTCAATATCAAATAAAGACCTTCCTATTTGTAATACAAAACTCGTATACTTGCAAGTACATGAAGTGCGATTGAGGGATCATAACTAGGTGGAAAGCTACAATGGTGGAGGCGAATATCTTTTTCAGATTTTAAAAGTCACAGTGAAGATCTTGAAGTACAATGATTGTTGGGAAAACCCACTGTTTGATTGGGAAATCCAAAACAGATTTCCTATCATTTTACATTATAAAATTACCATAGACTGGTGTCAACTTCTCAACAAGTTCAAGTTTTGTCTCGTTTAATTTGAGAAGTTGATTCTATATCGACTATGTGAGCCCGATTATTTGATAATTTTGGGATGATTGAAAAATTGGTAGATATTGAATGTGTAATTTTGTAGAGTCCGACGGACAAAAGTCAACTCTAAATCACAATATTACTAAACGATAGACATAAATATAAAAATTTCTAAAATCAAATCAAGAAGGTGAGTTATCTTGTAATTTCTTTTTGTCACTTGAGTTGTATCTAGCTTGGTAATTATTGATTGAGAAAGAAAATGAAATGCAGGAGGGAGACTAAATCTAACCTTCAATGTGAATCTAATAAATAAACAGAGTAAATCTTATACACACTCACAACATATATATTATCATCATTGGATCTATGACACGTGTAAAAGTTAAATTTTAAATTCAAATCTTGCATAATTATTATCCATCTATTCAACGTTGATTATTTATACACTGTCGGTATATGAAATATGTGTAGACGGCACATTTATGAAAAGTCCATATCAAGCAAAACTACTCACAGCCGACAGACTCTGGGAAGAACAAAATACCTAGTCACAAACAGTTATTTGGGTATGCGAAACTTGGATTCCTGGAATGAAAGGCGACATACGATTGAGGGATCTTCCAAGTTACATAAGAACAACTGTGGCAGGTGATTTAATGTTCAATTTATCATTGGAGAAGTTAAGAATATCGCCAGAGGTTCAGCTGTCGTCTTAAATACTTTTTATGACTTCGAGCACAGTTCTCTTGATGCCCTTTCTGCAATGTATCCTCACGTTTATAGCACCAGTCCCTTACAACTAATGCTTAATCAAATTCATGACGAAAGCCTCACATCCATCAGTTCAGATCTCTGGAGAGAAGAACCAGGTTGTATCGAATGGCTCAATGATAAAGATCCAAAGTCAGTGGTGTATGTGAACTTTGGCAGCATCACAGTGATAACTGCTCACCAGCTAATAGAGGTTGCTTGGGGACTTGCAAACAGCAAGAAATCATTCCTGTGGATTATAAGACCTGATATGGTTGCTGGTGATGATGCAGCCGTCTTGCCACTAGAATTTCTGACCAAAACTAAAGAAAGAGGCAAGCTGGAGCTCACCAGAACAAGTTCTAAATCATCCTGTAATTGTAGGGTTCTTAACACATTGCGGATGGAACTCGACTTTAGAAAGTATTTGTGTAGGCGTACCCGTTATCTGCTGGCCCTTTTCCTCGTAGAAGCAGACCAACTGCAGGTATAGCTGCGCGGAGTGGGAAATGGAGATCAACAATGATGTGCAGAGAGGCGAAGTAGAGGTTTTTGTGAGAGAACTGATGGATGGTGAGAAGGGACAAAAGATGAGGAACAAGGCTTTGGACTGGAAGAACAAAGGTGAAGCAGCTGCAGGACCAAACGGACAGTCTTACCAGAATTTGGACCAACTTATCAAGGACTTGCTTCTCCCTATATTGTCCAAATAACTAATAACCTGCAGGACAAGGTGGAAGTTCCTTGAATTTGATTTTAATGTGTGAAAAAAAAAAAGGATAAAAGTTGAGTTCATAATAATGTTCAAAAGAAATCTTGATGGACAAAGATTGAATAGTTGTTTTTAGGGTTAATCATACTTCACCCTCGAGCTTTGTGTGGATGGTCATAGTTTACCACATTGAACGTTAAAAGTATATACATTGTGCCTTGAAGAAATTCTTATACTTCTATTATTTTTTCTTTAAAAAAAAAAAAGCACCATTCACCTTCTACTTTAAGCTAATAATTCTTCTTGTGCAATAACTAGTTAACAACCTCTCAATCGTATTTCCATAAAAGTCATTTTACTGTCCAAGTATGACAGTAACTTTTAAAAGATGAGCATTGCAGCTTATAAATTACAATAAACATATCGGTCTGCATTTGCTTTGTCTTCCAGGATGACCTTGGCATCCTTATAATTGACACTAAATTCATATTTCAAAGTGATCTAGCACTGGCTTACCATCCAACCGCTTTGATGTGAAAATCGAGAGGTATTCAGAAGCATGAATTTCTCGATAAATTGGAGGGCTTTTGTCCGAGAGAAGCTCCTTCAATGGTCCAAAGGCTTTAGAACTTTGGTTAAACAAACAGGCTGCTGCTGATACTCTCGGATTATCTCATTTAGCTAACACCCTGTGCTTCACGCTCTTGAATATACATGTCCGTAAGCCCTTGATGTCGTTGCTAATAAGTTGCCAAAATTTAAAAAAAAAAAAAAAAAAAAGTGAAACATCAAATTTCTTGTTAATATACATGCCCGTAAGCCCTTGATGTTTCATTAAATATTTTGTACATTCTTGAGCTTTCATTCTTACAAGTAAATCCCCTAGCATTTTATTTTTAACTAAATCAAAATCCGCCTTTCTTTTGTTTGCCCCTTTGAAATTCGTCCCTGGTCGTAATTCAACAAAAAAAAAAACTGAAATTTAAAGGCCAAGTGTTTTGGATAAGTAAATTTAAAGCCTAAGGGTGCATTCGATAAAACTGAAATTTGAAATCTGAAATCTAAAGTCTGAATCTATTAAATTATTGAATTGTTAAATATTAAATCTAATACATTTGACTGCATATCACATTCAGTGGTGATAAGTGAATAGCTTATCACTTAATTTTGGAAGCAAGTTTTGCTTAAGAAATTCAGTGCCACTTAATTAATTCAGATGTTCAATTTTTCGTTATTAAACGGTCTGAATATACTAAGATTTAAATCCATTAAATTTAAATACTGAACTGAGTTATCAAACACAACGTAAATTGTAATCTGAAAAAACTTTGAATGCTTCTAATAGAATCTATTCTTAAATCTTGGATATAATGATTCTTAAATAAGAGGGAATTTTGAATATTTGAGCAATGAGAACTAGAGTTTCTTAAAGAAATCATGAGTTTTCTGAAGTAACTTGCTTCAAATCTTTTCCAATTTCTCATAATCTAGAAATAACAACTATTATTTAATGTGAAAGTATCAAAATATTCTACTAATCATTTGAATAACATTTTCATAAAAGGCAGTAGTTGCAAAAATTTGCAGGATAGATTATTTTTGACTAATTTATGGGATTAAAAAGTATAACAACAAAAAGGTAAAAATACATGTTCTCTAAACTTAAAGATGTATGGCTTATAATTTTTCCTTTTCAGGTTGCGTAATTAATTTCAATAGTCCATCAACTTTTCTCCATGGTCTTATTTGGTCCCAGAACAAGTGTTTATGACGTCCCTCAACTTGTAAGTGGAGTTCTAAATGGTGTCTTCCAAGTCTCACGTAGGGGTGCCAAACGGGTCGGATTTGGACTCGGACCTGACCCAAATTCGATAATTTTTTTCAAATTTGGATTGAAAAATAATTTCGATACCCGAATCCGAACCCATTTACTCTAACAAAAAACAGATCGGATACGAAATATAGAATTCCGACCCGTATTCGACTAGGATCCGAACAATATATTAATAATTGTAAATTGTAAATATTTCTAAATACATCCTTTTTCCAAATTAACAATTTAGTAATGACTTTTGTAAATTGATTTGTGGTTAGTTTTGGATTGACTATTGCGAGTGATTTGTAATTTAGTTTTGTAATTTAATTTGTTTAAGTTTGGAGATTGGATTTGTGATTGATTTTGAAATATTTAAATTTAAATCCTTTAGACCCGGACCCGACTCTGAAACTCTAAGATCAAGACCCGTCGGGTATACGGGTAGAGTCCGGATCTATTACGTAAAAACGATTTCGGGTCCGGGTCCGGGTCTGAAATTTTCAATTCTGACCCGAATTCGACCTGTTGACATCCCTAGTCCCAAGTCCCAGACAAAACTATGTAGCTATCCCTAATTAACAAATTAGTTTATGAAGGAAAAGTCAACATTATCTTTTTTATGCTTTAATTCTGTTTTCTTGCAAAATAGCACCATTCACCTTCTACTTTATGCAAAGAATTTTTTTTTTCTTCAATGTATCTCTTAGATATTTCTAGCAAATGGTAGTGGGCATTAGTTAATGAACGGTTAGGTTCAAAATTAAGTGATTTTTTAAGAAAATTTAAAAAATCTAGTGAGAACTAGACCTAGCAAACAAATGGGCTAACCATTAGACCCCCCTTTTTCATTTTGGGAAAGAAAATACAAGAAAGCAGAAATGGTCCAATCGAAGCTAATAAAAAAGGATTTTTCTAACCATTTTGTATTGTTTAAAATTGAAAAATTAAAAAGTTCATAAAATTAGCAGAAATAATTCAAAATGGATATCTACACTCAAAATAAATAAGAAAATTAAAAAGAATTACAAACTTGATTGTGTATATTTTATTCCTAGTCAACTGGAACTATCATAGACGTCTAGGATAATTTTAACAATTAAGGGCTTCTTCTCACTTGTATAAAGACACTTTACCATAACTTCTTTTAAGATTAAAAGCCATTTTAAATTATTTTCAACTATTTTTAGTTTTTAAATATTGATTATCTTAAGCTTAAAGGAGCTTAAAAATCAAATAGACCAGCATTTAGCTTTTGAAACCATATCAAACGAAAAAGTTTTACTTTTGAGTTCGTTCAATAAATTTTCAATATTGAGCTTTAAGAAAAGCAAAAGCTGACAACCAATTTTATAACGCATGCGATGAAAAAAAACGGTTCCAATATTTTTGGGTCCAATAGTAGTTCAGTGAAACAAAAGGAATATAGATATAATTACAAACCTTTCTCAGGGCGTCTAAACCCAAATTTATAAGGAATTGAGGACCAAAACACAAAATAGAATCAAAACTTCATACGACGTCGCTTAACTGTTCATCATCATTTGATTTCCCTTGCCTTTTCCCTTTCCCTTTCTCTTCCCCTTCTTCCGTTGCAGTGCTGCCGCAGGCCCTGAACAAGAGCTCCATTCTTTGGCCTTTGCCCTTTTCTTCTCTGATATTTCCATTAAAACCTCCCCGAATTATCATTCCTAAATAGACCAAATAAATTAATAAAATTATAAATAAAAATGGGGGCTGGGAGAGAAGTAGCAATTTCCTTGGATGGAGTGAGGGACAAGAATATAATGCAGCTGAAGAAGCTCAATACTGCCCTTTTCCCAGTCCGTTACAACAAAAAATACTATGCTGATGCTCTTGCCTCCGGCGAATTCACCAAGCTTGGTACAATTTCTCTTCTGGGTTTTTCAATTTATTATCTGGGTTTTTTTTTTTTTGGCTTCCCGGTTGTGTGCATAAAGTTTCAAATTTTTTTTCCAGTTTTATTATCTGGTTATCTGTAGTTGGCTTATTCCATTTTTTTTACGTGCACTAAAATGGTAAAAATGGTAGTAACTCAATTTGAATCTTACGGATTGGTGTCTTTTAATATGACCCTTTTTTCAAATGACTGCTTTTGTTCCTATCCTCTCCAATCACTTAAACGTTTTCATTTGAGGTTGTTAGGTCCAAGAAGCTGGAGATGGAAATGGAAACTCATCCTCTTTATGTTTTTACTTTTGATTTTATCAGTTAGTCTGTTTGATATGAATTTGCAGTTGTACGAAATCTGTCTTGCTAGTGGTTTTGTTTTTCTGATGTGTTTGACTTGTGCTTTAGCATTTTGGAGTTGATGGCGTAATTGAAGTAATTGGAGGAGGCTAAATGTTCATTATAGTAATCAAGGATTTTCATACGTTTCAAAGTTGAATTCAGTGTTATGGACATTAAATGATAAAAGGTCACCTTCTCTTGTTAGGTCTTAGATTACTGTGATAAAAGATCACTTTATTGTGATAAAATGTTCTAACTCTTATAGCATTTGGTGGTTGTATTTGCCTTGAATACTCTAGTATTTCCCTGAATTTTATTATATCTGTGTGATCTGACATACTTGGATGTATAAACCTTAGCATATTGCATTGTGTTTAAGAGGGACCGATGATAACCTCTTGTTGGGATCTGTATGAGATTAATTAACCTATATTCTTTTCCAGTTTTTATATGATAGCTCTATCAAATGACTTATACCTTTCGCCTTTATTCTAGAAGTGATGTTTTTGTTGTGCCCAACTTCATGTTTCATCTCAAGTTTGTTCTGGGTTTTTAAGAAAATAGTAGTGTGTAGGATGCATAATATGGAGGCAATAGAAACATAAAAAGATGTTTAGGAGATCAGGTAACTGCAGCACTGGAAGGCAAAACTTTTTTGATTTAGAGGAAATCCACTATCATCAGGTTTAAGTACAAGTGACTATCACAATACATAACTTAACAGAATACTTTATAGGTCATACTTTGTGTTTGTTGAAGAGTTACATATAGGTCATGCCTATCTTGCTAGGCCTGTTGCTTTTTGCTGCCTTTTAACAAAATAAAGGTAAAAACAAAAGTAATTGAATGCACCATTATGGATAGGTCGGGCAAGTACGGATTCTCTGAGGAGATAAATCAACATGTTTCTGCAATGAATCATACTGTGTGTTTGT